ACGCCAGATTTAGTCATATGCCAGTCTGACCCCATGTGCTGGATCTGACAATGCATTGCCATGACCCCAGGTTCTGGATTCAGCTGCAGAGTGACCCCACGCACTCTGCCCCACCATCACAGGTGCTATCTGCCACACAGGGGCACATCCTACAGGGCTCCCTACTGGTTTGGAAATTTGACAGCAGTGAAGTGGCAATTCATGCTGCCACTTCTCCCACACTACCAAATTTCTGGACTGTTGGGTAAGCCCTGCAGTCCAGACAGCATGGCTTTACAGGCTGCGTCTAGCCTGCAGGTTGGATGTTGAGCTGCAGTGATTTAGAGCAGGGGGTGTCCAACCTTTTTGAATGTGGGGCCGGATCATGAACTTTTTATCACTCAGTGCCCCGGGAAGCCATATTCAAAGACCTCACAAGAAGCGGTATCACATCACCCCCCACAAAACGAAAGTACAGTGTTTACTTTCATTTACCGTCGCAGCATCTTGGGTCTCAGAAAACAGCTTGGAGGGCTGCATGGCAGCCCATGGGCAGTATGTTGGACAAGCCTGATTTAGAGCAAACAGCACCATACCTAGATTACTAAAAGTTTGCCCAGGGCCACCAGTATCGTTCTCCTCCTTTGCCGGAGATAATTATATTAATAATAATAATAATCATTATTTTCACCATTTTCAGGCCCCTTTTCTGTTCGGGCCTCAGAAGCAACCTCAGGACTTCCATAATTTAGAAGAAGTTTCTAATAAGGAGCATCATACTTAGCCCCATACCTTTTTTTGTTTGTCCACACCTTTTGGCACAGGTTGGAAGGGGTTTTGTGAAGATGATTATGCTACCTCTACACCACCAAGAGACTCTCTTTACAATAAAAATCTACAAGTTGCTGTTTGAGATGACGGTATGGATTTACTGAACCATCAGAGTTGTACAAAAATGACAGAATGTAATTGTGAAAATTCAGTATATTCATTATAAATGATAATGAAACAGAAACAACGCCCAAACTTTTCCACTTTATTTTGATGACCATTTAGATATATTTCCATTTATTATTTTTAACAGTAGAGAAGTGAGATACTATATTCATTTGTAAGTTCCATAGTATAACACATCACATCATAAAGGCTCTTAATTATCCCTATCCATTACTATGGAATGATATGGGCAACTACCATTTCTATTGCTAATGAAATCATAATTTTAAAAGAAAAAGTCCACTCATGTCAAGAAGTTTGTATCACAGTCTGGTATCTTTCTATGCCTTTAAATGTAAGAAACTGTGTTTACTATGCTAACCTTAAGCTACGTCAACCTTTTCATTAATGGTGCTGGAAAAACTGCAAAGTTCCATGTTCTAGCTGAACGCAAACCCCAAGCTGTTTAACTAGAGTCTTTTTTGAGAAGTGGCATGGGATAAGACAGAAAATATTCACAGTGTATTTAAAAGGGTTGCCTGGATTTTTGAATAGCGAACACCTAATGTCCCCATTTTTTAAACAAATGCATATTTGTTTTTGTTTGGGAATATTTAGCAGCTCTTTAATATATCCCTCTGAAATCTGTTCACTGGCCTATCAAGAAAGATCCAATCTACTTTAGTTTTTCTGTGCAAACAGATCATCTCTTGCATGGATTTCCTAAAAATGAATCTGGTATTCAAAGCATGAAGGGATACATATCCTCATCAAGAAAAGAAATATTTATTCATTCATTTTGTGTCATATGGGGCTGCCACTTTGCCTTGATGATTAGTTTTTAAATTAAGAAAATTTGCTCTTGCAGTTAATGAGGATCAGCAGAGAACTATGGAAACAAAAAATCTTCATTTGTTAAACATCAGATATTCATTGATTGCAGTTTCAGTCAGTCACCTTTTAGTACATTTGGAAGGAATTCAAAATTACAAAGATCAACCAGCTTTAGCTAGATGCTGCTAGAGGAGCTAAAATGTGTTTGGGCTCTGAATATTAATTACCCTGCTGTTTTAAAGGTTAGAACAGTCACTTTCTCCCGGGGAGGTCATAGTTCTGATTTAATAAAGGCTTAATTATAGAATATTATAGAACATTGCAATGAACTGCAGCAACAAAACCAGTGAGTAGGTTATTCTTTCTTTGACAAACCTAAAAACAGATAATAAAGGGATATGAAAAAGAGAACAACACCTCTGTTGAAAAAACTTGTTCAGGCAATTATGAATTAATAGTTTTTTCTTCAGTGTAAAATGGAGCAGAGAAGATAGTACTACTATTATAACTACTGTGCTTGTCACTTCTAAAGAAGGTTTTATATAAAAGCTACATAAAAGGACATATTTTAGCAGTAAGATTATGATTCATTTTCTAGTAAATTACAGCAACTCTTTTGTGATGAATGCAGGTGCTTCTAAAACACTTGTTGGCATTAAATACTAATTAGTAATTGCTAATTAAATATGAAAAAGGGCTTTTGGTGGAAGATAGTACATTTCACTTAATCATGGTTAATCTTGCATGTAGAAATGTATATCATGTTAATTCAAGTTATATACCCCATATTTAAAATTTGCCCTTCACTTGATGTAACATCATTCCCAAGGATTTGATGTGATTTTGCTTTTAAACTTTGGAGTAGATTTTGCATTCATGCTTGGGGAATTTATCGTAGATCATAATGAGTGGAATTCTTCAAGTGCCATGATTTTAAACATGGTTCTAGCTAATTTTTTTTCTCTCTCTCTCTCTCCCATGTTTAAACATTTCTAGAGATTTTAAAATTGTCTTTGGAGCCCTAAAATAATAGCCAAGGCCAGTAGCAAGACATTTGTCCTCTCTTGCAAAGCAGTCAAAAGGGACATGATTGCATGCTTTTTATTTATTTAGTTTTTTAAGGGGTAAAATTTACTCCACAGAGCACACACAGCTTTACCTCATACTAACGTGACCCTAAGTTGCCAAGTGAATTTCACACCATCATTTCAATCATTCATTGGAAGTTGATTGCCAGTGTCCTGTGACCTTGGTTTGGCTGCATTATGTGAACTGGACCTAGTAATTAGCTAAGAAATGCCAAAAAGTTGCTCCTTTTTTCAGCAAGGGCAGTTTGGCTGGATGAGCAACTATCAGTAGTGTCTAAACCAATAATGGATGTTTAAAAACTTTCTACCTGCTATCAGGTATTGCTGCTAGAATTCTGACCTCCCGTTGTCTGATATTCTAAGGTCTGGAAAGATTAATAAGAAGTAAAATACATGACTATCCATTATAATTTGGAAATAGTTCATGGTCTAGTGTCTGAATTGCCCAGTCAGCATGGCATTAAAATGCTTTAGGTGAGAGGGCTTAAAAAGATAGAACTAATCATATCCATGCTCTTTAGATGCTATTGTTCCAATTTGCAAGACAGGCAGCAAACATGTCGTGCTTCGTTTCTAAAATCTTATAACTACGGTATAGAGGACAAAAATTAACAAAAATAGCTTTTCATGTACTTTCCAAGGAAAGAAAATAAGCCGGCTTTGTTCAGTTGATGCCAAGGTTTGAATTGCTGGAGATTTACTGCTATATTTTTAATAAATATGCTTTGAAAAATTTGATTTAGTATTGTTTTTTCAAAGGGCTTTTGTTATTGTGTTTTTTCTTCTATAATTATAGAATCATAGGGAAGTAGGTCTGGAGGGCCTCATGTGGCCTCGTGCAGTCCTTTAGTCCAGCCCTTTGCTCAAGGCAGGATGATCCCTGACTAAATCATTCCAGCTAAGTGTTTGTCTGGTCTTGAAAATTTCCAGCGATGGACATTACACAACTGTTCTAGGTAGCCTGTTCAAATTCTTGATCATGCTCATTGTCAAAAAGTTCCTCCTAATCTCCAAATTAAATTTCCCCTCCTGAATATTGAAGCCGTTGTTCCTAGTACTGTCCCCTTTCATCACAGACGAAAGCCCACCTCCATCCTTTCTACAATCACCTTTCAGGTATTTGAAAACTTTTATCAAATCCCCTTTCAGTCTTGTCTTCTTCAGACAAAACAACTTGAGCCTTTTCAGGCTTTTTTCATAAGTCTTGCCTCTCTGGCCCCTAGTTATCTTTGCTATTCTGCACCGGACTCTTTCCAAACTGTCTACATATGTCACGAAGTGTGGGGACCAAACCTAGGCACATGTGTAAGTGTCCCCACTGTACAATGACTTTATAATTGTAGAGCTGTTGCATGAAACAGTATTTTTGACCAGGCCAAGCCACATCTAAGTATGCAACGTATCATGGTCCTTAATGAAAGAACTGCTGTCCTAATTCTCACTGGGTGTGTCTACACATGCCCCTGACTGCATGTTTGGTACTGCATAGTCATTTAGCACTTGCTTTTAATAAGGACAAATTACTGTTGGAAAAGACAATGGGGAATTTTGTCAGAAATATAACATATTAGATTCCCTAGGACACTTTTTATTTAGCAAGTACTAATGACTGTTCAGTACCCAGCAGTATAGCAGAGTCCTGCCGGCGCATGGTTATTTTTAGATGCTATGTCACCAGTGGTGCACAGTTATTTTTAGACACTATGTAGCATCAGGATCACAGTTTGTCCCCGCCGACACTACGTCACCGTAGTGCAAAGCTACCGTGACGTAGCTCATGGCTATGGCAATGTAGCCTCTTGAGTAGACGCGCTGTGTATTGTGTCTATAAAATAGAAAGTGTCTCTGCATTCGTTTTTGGAATATCATTCACATAAAGAGCTGTAAAATTTTTAAAACCTTGTTCAGTGTCCATTGCTTCTCTGATAGACATTTCATCTGAGAGGGAATAATGATTTTTCATTGATAAACATAGCTCATTCAACAGGAAAAATGTAGAAAATGCAGAATGATTTTTATTGCTTACAGCCGTTGAAGTAGGACTTGAACCTTTAAAAAAAGAAGTGAAAAAAGAAGAGAAGGGGCTATGTTCTGTTAATGTGCAAATACCCTAGAACTAATCATCTGGATGGTAAGATAAAATTGTCTTTTTTTGCCTTACAGGTTTTCTAAGTACTGGTGACCAAGCTGCAAAAGGCAATTACGGATTGCTTGACCAAATCCAAGCTTTACGATGGATTGAAGAAAATATTGGATCTTTTGGAGGAGATCCAAAAAGAGTTACTATTTTTGGTTCTGGAGCAGGAGCTTCCTGTGTTAGTCTACTGACCCTGTCTCACTATTCAGAAGGTAATCATCTTCTAGCAAAGTAAATATAGTCCTGCTACAATAAAGGTGAAATTAATCTTTTTGAAGCTAATGCTTTTTTAAAAACACAAAAGTTCTGGTAAGTGGCATCATCAAGTGGAATTATTTAACATCAGCAAATCAAATGAAATAAATAGTGGCCAGGTTTATGGCCCCATTTTTAGTAACCCTAAATTATGCATCTTATTGTATTGGACAGTCAAACTTAACATTTAAGTTAGAGCTTTAAATAAAAAGTCTTCTAGGGAATCGAACATGTCACATTTCTGTCAAAATTCCCTATTGCCTTTTCCATCAGTAATTTGTCCTTATTAAAATAAACATGGTACTGCACTTTTATTTGCAATACACCACTCTCCCTACTTCAATTATATGTTTTAATGTCTTAACTCATGCACGTCTTGTTCCAAAAGAACTAATCCTCATACATGGAAGCTGATCCTTCTGTTTATATGTGAAAAATGTTCCTGTTGGCTATATGAATTTGATATGCAAGACTTTTGCCTCTGGTTATAGATGCAACAATATACAGTACAAATACCAATTGCTTTTCATAAAGATTTCAGTAGGTAAGACCAGTAATAAACAGACATAGGAAAAGATGTCATTTCTTTAAAACAGTGGACTTTTTTATGCCCTCTTGCTCATCCAACAATACTAACTGTATTGAAACACCGCAAGTAGTATGTTATGATAGTAGAAAGTAGCAGGAACTATCAGAGCAAGCACATGTTACTCAGAACTCCCATAAATCATTCCTGACAATTTGTTTATTGATACAAATACGGTATAACAAGTAATTCTGAGTAAACTCTTCTGGAAAGCAAACAGATGGAATGATACAAATATTAACTAATCACAGCATTGAAAATTCATAATGTGCAGTAGTAAGGATTGCACAGTGTATTGATCATAGTTTTCACTACGCTTCAAGACATTTGAAGTGTTTTGTATCTATCTTAGGCATGTACGGGGCACATATCATCACAGTATTTAAGTGTTTTGTACACTGTACACACATGATGGCCAAAGTATTTTGGTCTGAATATACAAATGATCATTTCATTGTCCCCACCAGGAGAAAACAAACAGATGGGGCAGATTCACTGTTATGCTCCAACTGCTTTCTACACTCTGGTGACACAAAGCAGCCTTAAATTTAGGACTATTATTGCTTTGCGTGTTGGAGCATAGAAAGACAAGCAAAACAACAATGAACCTGGTCCAACATTTTTTATTCCCTTCAGAAAAAAAATGCAAACATATTCTGATCTATCAAGAGCCAATGATAACCCTAAAATATTAAGCAATTAATGAAAAATGTTGCCAGAACAGAAATCAAGTTCATTTAATTGGTTTTGTCAGATCACTTTTTTGTTCCAAATTATACGATGCTTGGTTTCTATATAAGAGTGTGTAATTGTCCTTTGACCTTTAAAATAGTGAATAGCATATTTATGTAAGCGATTTACATGGAGAAAGGGATACGATTGCTTGTAGCTGCTGCTCCTTTAAAGTTGATATTTGAAAGGATTACCAGTGCGCTAAAACTAGATGTTCATTAAAGGTATAAGAACATTGCAAAAATTGTGTTTTGTTCTGGAAACAGTTCTCTAATGTTCATTTTATATCTGTGATGCTCACGAACCAGACAGATTTTAATTACTGTCTTATTAAAAGCTAGTATGAAAAGAAAGATCTGAGTGGAAAATGAACAGAAATGGAATTTGAAGTACAGGAATATGCATCCTTTAGCTATCATAGAATCAAAATATTATTTGCTCAATAAAAGCTTCTTTGTTTTTTTAATAATTTGATTTGCATTTTAACAATTTGCACCTGCAGGCTTGTTCCAAAAGGCAATCATACAGAGTGGAACAGCCCTGTCCAGCTGGGCAGTGAACTACCAGCCTGCCAAGTACACTCGGATATTGGCAGACAAAGTGGGCTGCGACATGCTGGATACCACTGACTTAGTTGAATGCCTTCGGAATAAGAACTACAAAGAACTCATTCAGCAGACCATCACTCCAGCCACGTACCACATTGCTTTTGGGCCTGTGATAGATGGGGATGTGATTCCAGATGACCCTCAGATTTTAATGGAACAGGGGGAATTTCTTAACTATGACATAATGTTAGGTGTGAACCAAGGGGAAGGCTTAAAATTTGTGGATGGAATTGTGGACAATGAAGACGGTGTATCCCCAAATGACTTTGACTTTTCCGTCTCCAATTTTGTGGACAATTTGTATGGTTATCCAGAAGGAAAAGATACGCTGCGAGAGACCATTAAGTTCATGTATACTGACTGGGCAGATAAAGAAAACCCTGAAACAAGAAGGAAGACCCTGGTAGCTCTCTTTACTGACCACCAGTGGGTTGCCCCAGCTGTTGCTACTGCTGACCTGCATGCCCAGTATGGCTCTCCAACATATTTCTATGCATTTTATCATCACTGTCAAAGTGAAATGAAACCAAGCTGGGCTGATTCAGCACATGGTGATGAAGTCCCTTACGTGTTTGGCATTCCCATGATTGGTCCTACGGAATTGTTTAACTGCAACTTCTCCAAGAATGATGTCATGCTGAGTGCCGTAGTTATGACATACTGGACAAACTTTGCCAAGACTGGGTATGTTTATTTCTAACAGCCTTTTGACTTCATATGATAATTTTGAAATACCAAATATTCTACAGCAATGGTTCCAAATGTTGCATTTCATAAGAATGTTATACCACTATTTGGAGTCATTGAGGCAGAAAACTGCTCTAAAAGGTGTTTATTTATATTAAGTATCTTTTAAAACTAGTGTTTCCTCTATTAAGCTATTTCCTTTCACAAGCTGTGTGTGAAAAATGATGCACTGCAGTTTTCATGAAAAATGGCTGCAGTTGTTTTAAAAAGTATCCTTGAGAGTAAAAGAGTTGAGCAACTAAATTAAATACGTTTATTACGCCAAGAAATCTGTGATGCAGATCATACATAACCAGAGGATTACATAATGGCCATCATAAAGAGAAGGCTGTGAAGAGAAGATATATTTGGAAAGATGGACAGTAGGAACATTGCTTTCCCTAGAAATTAGAATCGGAATTAAATGAAGACTTCAGTAATCAAAAAAGGCTCTTACACTAAATCTGTAAGAGCTTAAAATAAAAATGTTAAAAAATTGCCAGTTAACTGAAACATAGAAGGGCATCAATGTTGTGCAAATACTGCACTTGTACATAATGTGGACAGAACCTTCAAAGTAGCTTAATCAAAGAAGGCTATTAGCAAATTCTGCACGCAAAATCTTTTTTTCCATACCATTCCTCTAAACAATATTGCAGTATTTTACCTGAGCAGAAAGGGCTTTTTTGTTAACCTTGAGACTTTGGTACTGAATTAATATAAAGATACCAACAGCACCGAGAGGTTGTAAATCTTTCCAATGAACATTTAATGGCAGGATTGGGCTCTCGAAACTGCAGCTCTACTGCAGTGCACTGAATAGTATGCAGCAATATAAATAAAATTCAGAGCCGCCTAGTGTTGAAGCACTCAGGGGTTTAGCAGCTCTCACTGACTTTAATGAATCCTAATGACATTCTGGAAAGGAGATTTTTCCATCTTAGCAAAATGATGTGGAGAATGAATTGGGTTAAAAAATAAAATGCTGCATATAAGCCACTTTTATTGGGTATAGACAACATGCAGCCTTTTGTGAAATGTTCTTTACAAGCAGGCTTTTCTGTTTGCATAAATTGTGTAGAATTGTGGTAAAAGGGAATAGATGATGGAATATTTAAGATGCAGTTCATAATGAGAAATCATTGACCCCTGGATGGACAAACTGGTTGTGGAAGGCTGACTTAACTGATTGTGTGATTATACATGATGGTTGGCTGCACTGCCAGTGGGCTGCATTGCATAAACTGTGACAACAATAAGAAAAAAATATTTTTCCCTATTACAATATTTTTATTATAAAACCTCCCACCTACATATGTAAATTCAGATCCTTAAAAAAATACTGAACGGGAATAATTATGTAGGATACAAGATCTCTGCTGTGCAGTTATTATTTATAATTATTTTGTTATTCTTGAAGAATGCTAACAAGTCAGAATTTTTGGCTATTTAGGGCTTATGTGAGCTCCTCAGAGCCCCATCTGTCACCATTACTCATTTCATGCAGGTTCCAGGTGCTGCTGCTAGAAAGCTAATTTCAGCAAGATATGATTACCATTGCCCAGTCCTCTGGGTGGGGACCTACAATTGTATTACACCACCTAAAGACAGCATATATGCTCTAGAAGTTTCATTAATCATTTCAAAGAATCCAACTGCTAACATGTTTAGTAAATAGCGTTGAGACTGAAATATAAAAAAGTTTTTATCAGAAATGTACTGTTTTGCAAGCTGTCTGAAAAAATGGATTAGAACAAAAGCCCTGAAACTGTAAAATCCCAATTGTCCTAAACAATAGATGTTTTTTGTTTTGTTTTATCTTGCTTCTTTTAACTGAAACCCAGCATATCTCTAATTAATTCATCCTTTAATACAAGAAATTCCCTGGGGGATAAATGGAATTATAAGGTTCCAGTATTATATTTGTTCTGGACCTCCAGTAGATTCAATTAAATAAAATAAAAAAAAGAAGAGAAAGTGGCAGGAAAAATAGCTCCTTTCAGACTGTAAAACCTGAAATATGGGTTATATGGAGGATTTATTTTCAGTAACTATTTTCTACCCATGCTCCCACATACATTTGGACTCCATATGTACCGTGAGGCCTACAACATCAGAAACAACCAGTTCATTTTATAGGGTTTTTTTTTCCTTTCATTTTTTTAATCATTGTTTTGCTACTTTATTTTGATATTGTTTGGGGTTTTTCTGTTTGTGCCCAAAACAAGACAAGTTCTGTTCCCTGTGGCTAGGTACAGACATTCAAAACACCTGAGGCAGAATCAGTCTAACTTACAGGTTTTTCTATAAGCAGCATAGTTTAGATTGGTAGCAAACAGAACACATTTGCCTTTTGGTGGGAGGGGCAAATCTTTGGACCAGGTTGTGCTGTTTTTAAACCAGTCTATATGTGCCAAACTTCTGTTCTGTTACAAGTATAGACTGGTTTTGTGTGAGAAACATCTGTTCTGTTATAGGGATAGACCAGCTTTGTGTGACAAACTTCTGTTCTATTATGGTATATAAACTGGTTTCAAATAATTTATATCAGTAAAAGTGTAATGTCTGTACCTGGTGTGTGAGACCATAACACTCTTAAGGTTCTCTGCACCATAGGTGTTAATATAAGACTGTAGGCTTTTTGTTTGTTTGTTTGTTTTAATACCACTGACACTCTTCCAGTCCTGGATGAGTCTCACATTGAGACAGCATCTAGAAACTTTTACAATTGCTGTTCAGTCAATGAGTTGTTCTGATATGTCTAATTGACACACACCACTTGCTGCTAAGAACTGTACATTGTTTAATGTGCTCACTACCAAGACAAGGTTTGGAGGACAGATCAGTGCCATAGTCACTAGGTGTCACAAACACAGAAAAAGCATGATACTTGTACTGTGTTTTATTTTGAAATCAGTAACAGAAGCTAGAAAGTAAGAAGTGATAAATGAAAGGTATGTATAGCCATTATATTTAGATTTAAATACCCAACCAAATAGGCATTCAGAGGGGTTAAATCAGGCAAAGAATAACACAGCTACCTAATCTAAATTAGTTCACCTAAGTAGGTGCACTGGCTTAGATCAAGATTGGGTTAACTCAATTTAGGAAAGGTTTAAACCAATCTTGCAAATGCCTTCATGTGTTCACAGAACAGCCCCTGGGCTGGGAAAACCCAGTTGCTTGCCAGAGCCCTGGGGCTGTGCTAATCCTACCTTCCCAACCATGACTGGGCTATTTTTAGACCCCTACCCCATGATCAGCAGGGATCATGGTTTTCTCTTATAAAAAAAATAATCCCCATACTTTTGTGGGGGTATATGTGTATGGGTGTGTGTGTATTAGTGGTGTTTCATTTGATTATCTTGGTCACTCAATCTAGTCGCAAAGGGCCTTTGTACATACCGCAAAATTGGCCTTTAAAGTGGCTTAAATGCCCTTTTGCACCACTTTAATGGCATTGCTGCTTGTACGTTCAGTGGTGTAGTCTGTTTTAATGGCATTGCTGTTTGCACTCTCAGCAGCGTATTCCACTTTAAATGACTTAGGTATGTAGCAAGATAAAACACCTCTGAGGTGTTAGTTTGCTACCAAACAAAGTGCAACACAATGCATGGGGCGCTAGAGGCCGATGTGCTTGGGGCTTGGCGGGCCCCATGCAGCTCAGGGGCTGTGGGACCCAGCAGCAGCCCATGCAGGCAGGCTCCACTGAAGTTAAAAAAAAAAAAGCCATCCTGATCTTTTTTTTTTTCTCCCTGAAGCCTGTATGCCTGCCTGAGCTGTGTGGGAGCCTGGTGCTTCCCTCCATGGCTGCAGGGGAGGGAGGTAGTGCTTCCCTCCATAGCTGCAGTGCCCCCCAGGACCGCCTGGTTTGGTGCCAGCAGGTGGGTGCCACCTGGGGGCCCCCATGCAGCTCTGGGGCCACTTGGCCCGCTGGCAGCTCATCCCCGCTCCCCACCATCGAAGAGGCAGGTAAGGATTGGGCCCCCATCCACAGGGGGAAAATTTGGTTTAATTCTCCCTAAATTGAAGTGATGTTTTCAAAAACCCAACATTTCAATTTAGGGAGAACTAAACCGAATTAAACCCCCGTGGCATGTACAAACAGCCAAAAGCTCTTACCTACTAATAGTTGCTTCTTAAAAGTAGGGAAACATTCATTGAACAATATGTATGAGAAGCAACATTTTGGGAATCACAGTGATATATTACAGCAATTTAGAAGACAGTATATGAAAATAGCAATCGATGTTAAACTTTCATTATGAGGTGCTTCTGGGGCTTCATGTGCTGCTTTATACAATCAAGTTCCCATTAAATTAAGCAGGATTTTTATCTGTTCAAGAAATCAGGTAGTTCCTGTAGGCTTTTTCACAACTTCCCATTATGGAAAGGAGAGAGGGACAGGAAACATTTTTTGAATTTTCCTGAGGCCATTTTTTTTGGACTGTGGCATTGCAAGAAATGCTTTGGAGAATGACAAGGAAGACCTGGAACCATGACATCACTTAGGTGTACCCCACGGCTTGACAACAGTTCTAAGAAGGCATGGTTTTTCATGCAACAGGAACTTCCGCAGGGGAGGTTGGGTACCGAGTCAGAATCTCTCCATAACAAAACACTACCGTGTGAGCTACAGAGCATTGTGGCAACTGTAAATAGGAGTTGAAATATTTAGGATGTAGTTGGCAACAAGAAATCATCGAGTCTGGGGTGAAAAAACAGTGGATATCCTTAGCTCCTGCCTGGGATACATATCTATTGGGAACGAGTGCGA